GAAAAGGGGGTTGCGAGTAGCCCAACAGCACTGACGCGGGTTCAGATCCTATATAGGGATGATCGGTGTGCTCACAGTGCTCACTGGATGAGCGCGGTGCGGCCAGTCTCAAAAAGGACAAAAAAAAAAAAAAACAATTAGAGAAATATGAACACAAATTGAATAGTTGATGATATTAAGGAATTGCTTTTTTCTCTGTTTAGGTGCAAGAGTGGTATGTGGGGGGGCAGTGTTTAAGAGTCTCTATCTCTTAGAGGTACATACTGAAGTTACATGATGACTGGGATCTGCTTCAAAATAATGCAGGGAGTAAGTGGGGATGAATGGGAGTAGAGGTGAAACCAGATTAGCCATGAGTTGATCGTTGTCAAAGGTGAGTGATGAATATGTAAGCTTCCGTTAAATTATGACTGCCTGATAATTTTTATAACAAGATGCTTTATGGAAGAAAACAGTTTGGAAACTTCGTATTTTAGCTATCGTTAGCAGTTCTTTGCTAGACCCCTCCCATCTGAAGAACAGCCATGGTGTGTGGACACCACCGTTGAGAAGCTCTGATGACTCTGGCTCCACCTCGGCTCATTCCTCCCTTTCCTTTGCCTCTTTGTGACTTTTCGCATTCCATCACTGCCTCCACATAAGTCCACAATGAGAAGCACATAACAAGAGCTTGAGATAATAGGAACTTAACAAACTCAGGTCACCTTGTGATCCTTTACGTTGTGTTTCAAATAATTCCATGGAATTACCACCTCCAGGTGGCCGTCTCAGTTGTCCAATTAATAGGAAGAATATTGATCAACTCATATTTATGTTCCTGCTAATGTGAACTGGTTTATTGTCAACCTGCCATTACAGTGTGTTTTAATAAGAGAGCTTCCTACATGTTGAGATAGCTGCTAGAAGCTAGGAGCCAAGGTCGCAAAGTGGAAGAGAGGGGGGAGGGGACCTCTTTTATTGGCAATGTGTGCATTGGTATTAGTCATCACTCTCGTCTTCTTATAACAACAGGTATTTATCAAAGTGCTGGACAATAATGATAATGGCCCAGAATTCTCCCAGCCGAATTACGATGTGACAATATCCGAGGATGTGCTTCCAGATACAGAGATATTGCAGATTGAAGCCACAGATAGAGATGAGAAGCACAAACTGAGCTACACTGTCCACAGCAGCATTGACTCCATCAGCATGAGAAAATTCCGGATTGACCCCAGCACCGGTGTGCTCTATACTGCTGAGAGACTGGACCATGAGGCCCAGGACAAGCACATTCTCAACATAATGGTAGGACCAAACTGCTAATTTGCTCTGCGGGCAAAACCATTGACCTTTCAAGTCCCATACCTTAGTCTTCAGAAGTCCAGGGCTCTTAAATTTTGTAAGTCGTTGTCAATTTGGTCTTTTCAGAGCCAGGTTGTATTCATTTTTGCCTTTTCATTTCAACGAAGACTTACTGTTGTTAGATAGCAACTCCATATTTTTGTCAAACTGAAATACTAGATAAGTTCTGCAGACAGTGGCTGTTCAGTAAATGCTGCTGACAGACTGACTTGAGAGGGAGGGAACAGGGCATGTTCCCAGGTGTTGGTTTCATTCAGAAGATTTTGTGGAAAAGTTTAAAAGAAGTTCCTTGAGAAGTTAATCATAAGGGTAATCCTTTACTCAACCTATGCAATGCTCAGTCCTTGGAAGTGTTTAGAGAACCAATTTATTGCTTATTATACTGACATTGAACCTACTAGTAAATACTGGCACACAAAGGAGATATCGAAACACACTGAAGCGTGCAGAAAATATTGAGTCTGAATTTGTGTTCATGGGGCCTCCAACTTATGAAGGAGAAATTGCTTCACTTTAAAAGTGGAGCTTTCCTAGTTTGCAGAATTGGTAGAGATTAATAAGAAACATCCTTGATTGATTTGTGGCCTAAAATCTGCCCCTTTAACCACCCGAGAATTCCCCGTGGGCATTGCACAGCCACTGCCTATAAGAGCGGCACTGCATTCCTTAAAACAGACTTAATCTTGTGCACCGATTGGCTTTAAGATACACTAAGATGCTATGAATTCATAAGCAGCTGAAAGTAGTGTTTTACTAAGTGCTTATTTTCCTTCACAAAACTTCTTCCCCAGCAAGAGGAAACTTGAATGCCATGCCCCCGGCCATGGTTTCCAGCTAAGACTCCAAAAAACAGAGGAATGTTTCATAGAGGTCATCCAATCCATCCCTCTGGCCCTTAATTCACTCATTCAACAGATCTTTCTCGAGCACCTACTGTACACCAAGCCCATTCTAGGCAATGGGGATGCAAAAGAGACCAAGATCCTGTACCCTTAGAGCTTACATTCAATGGGAACTGACCTAGATTTTAATAATCCCAAAAGAAAGAGTGCAGCTTGGTCCTTGGGTGTGGCAGGCCAGTCTACAGATGGGGAAGTTTAGCACACTCATGAGGTTGATTTTGCATGTGTTTTCTTCAAGAGCAGAAACCTTGTGCAGGTGACTAACTCCATTCTCATGGTTCTTCGAGTCATTTCTGTTTATTATTTCCTCAACAAACTCAGAATTCAGTTTGGTCACCCTCTACCATTTATCATTTGTGTAATTGAATATTCAGAGCAAACAACTACTTTTTGCCACCTTTCTCCAAGCTAAGCCATTTTAGTCATCTTGCTCATTCCTCCTAGCTACTATTTCTGAAAACCTCATTCTCTTTGATGACTCTTCTCCATATATTTTCTAAAAACTTCATATCTTTCTGAAGCTATAGAGTCTAAAATTAAACAAGCCATGAGGACATATTTGATTAATGCTACATTAAATTATAACAAAATCTCGTGGTTGAAGAATTGATTGTTTACAAGCTTCTGCCTCATGCAAACCAGGGGAAACTTTAAAGCCATCAGGCAAGATTCTTTGCGAAATCACATTGAGGGTCTCAATTCTAGAAATTAAGATTCGATTTATCTTCCCTGTGGTCTGGGTTCCTCTTGGCTCTGGGCCTTTGTGTATATTGACTTTTATGGCCTGAAAGTGCCACACAATACCACCACCAACATTTTATGGCTTCTGATTGTTCTCGTTACTCTTTCCAGGAAGCTGATTGCTAGGTTAGGCTCTACTCACTCTGAGAGCACTTTTAGTGTATCCCATGCTGCTACTTACCACTGGGCATTGTACCTGTCTACTCACTTGTTTGCATTCTCCACTCAACTCTAAGCTTCTCAAGGGCAGGAACTGTATCTAATTCTCTGCTGAAATACCAGAGTCAAGCCAAGGACTTGACAGAGAATAGGTGACAATAAATGTTTGTTCAATGGATGAATGAATGATTGGCAATGCTAGCGTTGTACTCATTGGTTCCACTCTTTAGTTTCCCCTATAGAAGAGTTTCCATCCTCCATTCCATTAGCAGCTGCGTACACAGATAAGGGGGAAATGTCTGCCTGAAAGGAGCAAGAGCAAAGTGCTGTGTTTGTAACATGAAGGCATCAGCTCCACAGACAGAGTGCAGACCATATGCCAAGCATCAGACTGAGCCATAAAGACGATATGGCCCTTGCTCTCAATTTGTTTACAATCAGTTTCCTTGCTTGATAATACCGCCATTTATTGAGCACCTACTAGGTGCCTGGGACTGGGTCGAGCATTTTGTATGCATTATCTCATTTTGTTTTCACTACAGACATAACCGTGTGAGTTCTTTACAATTCAAGATTTTAGTCCTACTGCTTCTCATATTTTGCCTAAAGGTCAGAGATCAGGAGTTTCCTTATCGGAGAAACTTGGCCCGAGTCGTTGTGAATGTGGAGGATGCTAATGATCACAGTCCTTATTTTACCAACCCACTGTATGAAGCATCTGTGTTCGAATCGGCTGCTCTGGGATCAGCTGTTCTGCAAGTGACGGCTCTGGACAAAGACAAAGGGGAAAATGCAGAACTCTTATATACCATAGAAGCAGGTGAGAGCTGTTGCACTGCACAGATTTCAGTGTAATGTGTGGCGTTCAACCCTCAGCAGTATTTATCATCATGTAAAATTCACATCATTACCACTGGAACATCTCCAAATGAGTTTTTTGGCCAAGCAACTGCCCTATTTGTATGATGATGGTGTATAAAGTTCTTGGCATCTCAGTAATATGTTTTCCATCTTTTACAGCGAGGAAAGAGTTTCCTTCTTTGTGTTCAATCTCATATTTTTCCAGAATAGAAAAGAGAAAAGAAATGTGTAATAAATTCCATGGCTTTTACCCATGGGCCAACAAGCCATGGTGTCAGACTAAAATAACCAAAGCTTCCCATCACCTGAGGGTGCTGGGCTGTTCTGTGACTTGAATATTAGCATGTCTTTGTTTACCTGTCACTGGTGTGGGCTGTGGGTTTCAAAAATTCCTATACCCCCTCAACTGGCACAAATTCACTTCACTGGAAGCAATCTGAGTAGCAGTGTAGATGGTGATATGGAGTCTGAATTGCCTGCTTTACCTGCCACATCAATAAATACAGGCTCTCGTTTTGTTAAATTTGAGATTTTTAAAAATCAATTTTAACATCTACAAGTTTAAAACAAGACCACAGTTTACTGATGGATTGAAGATCAATAGTTAGAAAACATTTATGACAGAGAGATGAATGCCCAAGCAAGAGATAGGACCTAGAAATAACAAATATCCTTTATCTGCTCTATTTTCCCTTCTCTATTCCATCTTTTCTAAATATTCAAGCCACATATTTCCAAAATGTTCTGCAACATTATGTCTGTTGTGCGTAATGCCAAATGCAATCTCCTTTTATGGCAGCTATGGAAAGGCTTCTTTCACTTCATTTAAAAGTAGATCGTTTTTTTGAGTGGTTGAATTAAAATATGAATGCTCGAATGACAGTTTTGAGCTACAAATTTTAGAAAAAGGAAAGCCGGCAACCTTCTAAAAAAAAAAGCTCCTGCATGGAATGATAATCTAAAACTATTTCCTATATTAGGCACTCATATTTTACATGGGTCTGTGCTAAGCTCCATGCACAAAAAAAGAAAAAAAGACAAGATGTTGGTTCATAATAGCCAGGTGCAGGTGCCCCACGAGAATTTACCCATTTCTTTTATTTTTCCTTACCTATTTTCTAGGTTCCCATGGAATTTTCTTTCAACATAAAACCCAATCAGTACTTCCTTAGAAATACTATTTTGCATCTTTTGCTTATCACAGATCATTTTTATTATTTAATTATGTAATCATTGTTCCTTTGGTTCCACAATAATATAGGGAATTTTTTTTAATGAATGCTTAGATAACATCACAGAAGATGTCACCTAATCCAACAATGCCTTTTATTTTTACTGTGTTTTTTCCTAATCTTATGTTTTTTCTTGTCCTCATATTCGTTCATCCACATGCATTGTTTCCTGACATTGTCATAGTCTAGATATATAGAGGATTTTATTTCTGCTTTTCTTATTATTTTCTAAACATTTGTCTGTGTCTATCTACTTCTTATATTTGTCTTTAAGGCTACTACTTTTACTCCTCTTAGATAGCCAGCTAATTTTTAAAACAATTTGGAGTTTCTCGAGGAGTGATTTAACTTACCATCCAGCTGCAAAGACCTCTTCATTTACCTTTTAACCTTCATGGACTACAGCCTAGTGCTCAGTCACTTCCTTAACAACTGACTGAAACAAAACAGAAAAGTCATTTCCATAAAACATCTTTTTTATATAGAAAACGCAGACTTCTAGAAAACCACAAGAGCAATTGGTATCTCAAAAAAAACAACCCTCAGTTGTATGTGTCAGAAGCTACTGAGAGTTCTAGTATTCACAGTAAATCTCTCATGGCCAGTGGGCCCCTTCACAGACAGACCTACACTGGTCCTGCACTGGTCCTAGCCAAGCAAGGTTCTTCCCAGATGAAAGGAGAGAGGCAGATCGTGGGCATCTGAGTATTTTGAAACAAATGACAAGTAGTTGGTGTAAAGTGTTATGTTTTATTTTTCTCTCATAAACCTCAGATAAGCAAGATTTTATTTACTCCGTTTAGTAGTGAACCATAAATTTCCTATCTCCTGCCTGGCCTCTAAAGTAACTGCTGAAGGGTTTATTTTGGCCTGCAGCACTGTGGTAGAATATGAGCACAGAGCTTCAGGTCTTATATTTAGTTCAGGTTTATATTTGTGTTTGGAACCAAAGGTGATTCCAAGGGAGGATAGTACAAGAGAGAAAGGACTAAGAAGTGAGTTAGAAGGGGGGTCACATTGGATCCTAAGACACATACAATTCATATTAGCTGTTGAATGATTGAGAGGAGAGGTGGATCTAAAAAAGATTTTTAATTTCCTATTCCTATGGTATTGCCACAACACCTTCTTTGTGGCAAGCACTGTGCTATGTACCAGATAAGTAATGATAAGTAAGAGAAGCATAGCTTTTGCCCATTTGCCAAAAGTCTACAAGAACCATAGATTCCAAGAAAATAAGCAGAGGTTAGTTTCCAAGGATTCAACTAAATTTAAGTAGAGCAGGAGAGAAATAAGCAGGAAGTGGATTCCACAACCATGGGTCAGTATGTTGAAGAGGGACAGAGGAGGAGGGCCCACTTTGGACCTGACGTATGAGCACAGAATTTTGGAAGGGTGCAACAAGCAGATCAGTGGCCATGGGACAGCAGGATTATGAAGCTCTACTTGAGGTCAGAGGCTGACTCTCCTTCATCCCCGCCACAGTGTATCTTGCTTGGTATGAAGAAATGTGCTGGGCATGGAGTGAGGGAAGGCCTGCCCAGAAACTCTGTGGTGGGACACCATAATCAATGAACACAAAGAGACTTGACTCTGTTAGCATCTGTCAGTCAGGGTCGCATGTTGGTGCCCTCACTGGAAGGTGACCATGGCTTTGGTGAAATGATTCCTGGGCTCCTTGCGAGGGTATGTGAATCAAATTTTCAAATCACACTCAATTCCGTGGTGCTATTTTTTGAAAATTTGAAAGCTTACTTATAAGATCATTGAACTATTTGTTGTCATCACAAAATGACCATTTTAGATGGCATAGTAAAAATTCAGCACTGTTTAATATTCATATCGTGGGGCTGGAATCAGGTTGACCTCTTTATTAGCTATACTTCTTTAAAAATAAGCAAGTTTCTTATTGAAATGGATTTTATGTGAACATGACCTCTTTGCATTCAGACTTGGAAAAGTTTATTATTTAATAAGTAGGTATTAAAAGATAAGCTGTACTTGCTGTACATTTCAATAGATACATCATGGGACTGTCCTCTGCATCCTGGAGCCTATCTTAATGATTTTTTTTTTTTAAGATGACCAGTAAGGGGATCTTAACCCTTGACTTGGTGTTGTCAGCACCACGCTCACCCAGTGAGCAACCAGCCATCCCTATATGGGATCCGAACCCGTGGCCTTGGTGTTATCAGCACCACACTCTCCCGAGTGAGCCACGGGCCGGCCCCTATCTTAACGATTTTGACATACAAATGGTCTGTATGTCTGCCATACTACAGTACTCAAAGAGAAAGAAAAATCCAGAAATAGTTGAATACCCAAGATCCTTTAACTTTTAATCTGAAAGACCCTAGACACAAAAGCATGTGCGTTCTTTGAGAAGTTTCAGGAATCCTGATGAGAGAAGCAAAAAGCAGCTTAGTGATCGATGCAGCTTCACACTATCTACCACTTTTAGAGTTCCATGTCGCTACCAACTTTCTCCACATTCTTCAAGTTTTGTGTTCGCCACCCTTTACTCCTCTCTCATTTCACTCATCCTCAACAATCCCAGGTTTTAAATCACTGCATGTTTCAGAGGCAGAGCTCTAAACCTCTCCAGGGTCACAGCCCACAGCTCTTCCCATACCAAAAATGTCAAAGTGGGGTCCCCGTGTCTCAGTGTGATAAGGGTTATGCCTCAAGTTCTTGGTTTCAATGCGGATGCAGATAATCAGTAGTTTCCTACTTCACCAGAAGCCTCTTGAATGCTTAGTGAGTAGAGCAACTGAAAATAGGAGCAATTGCTTTATAATTTTTTATGTCTACTTTCATGTCTATGTGTGTGCATATGTGTGTTCAGAGGTGTGGGGGAGGAANAGTAGAGCAACTGAAAATAGGAGCAATTGCTTTATAATTTTTTATGTCTACTTTCATGTCTCTGTGTGTTCAGAGGTGTGGGGGAGGAATGAAGAATAGAAGGTAGTCAGAAAGAATCCTCACAACCTGCAAAGTAAATGGTAACTTAGTAAGAATTCTCCATTCCTAAGCAAAACCCCCCTCACCAAAGAAGTATTTCAGATGAAGTCAGTTTTGATAGGGTGAAATAGTACCAATTCCATGTGGCAAAGCTTACCTTTGGGATAATCTAAAACCAAATGGCTGTATTAAAATGCTTTAAAACTATTCCTACAACCCTCTTTCTTTTAACATAGAACAAAGAAAATGACACTGGTTTAGGTACAGATGCCTTTTTACCAGTGGCATTAGTAATCTGTTCCTTTCCACACAAGGCTCAGAATGAGGAAGTCCACATTCTTGGCAGAAAGGTCTCTCCTTTAGCTCTTTATTTCCCAGCTTGGATGTACACAGGGCTGTGGTGGTGCTGCTGCTGATGTTGTTTTTAAACGGCTTCAAGAAGCTACTGATCTGAAGGAAAAAAAAAAAAAAGCTACTAATCTGAAATTTCTGAAATTCACAACTTTATTGGAAAACTCCTTTCAGTTGCTTTTCAGTACCCCTCAAAGAGACCTTTCTCGTTTTCTTTCAGAATGATATGGAATGAATACAAGTAATTGCTTTCTACTGGCCACATTACAGTAAAGTAGCCTTTAGAGGAAGGGTTAATCTTCAAAAAAGATCTTAATGACTCACTTGTAACTCATTTCCCCATTGATTTCTCTATTTTAGGGAACACTGGGAACACATTTAAGATCGAACCAGTCCTGGGCATCATCACTGTTTCCAAAGAACCAGACATGACGACAATGAGTCAGTTTGTCCTGTCGGTCAAAGTCACAGATCAGGGTTCTCCGCAGATGTCTGCCACTGCGATTGTGCGCATTTCTGTCACACTGTCTGATAATTCTCACCCCAAATTCACTCACAAAGATTACCAAGCTGAAGTAAATGAAAATGTTGATATTGGAACATCAGTCATTCTAATCTCTGCCACCAGTCAATCTACTCTCATTTATGAAGTCAAGGATGGAAACATTGATGGAATTTTTACTATTAATCCATATTCTGGAGTCATCACCACTCGGAAGGCACTGGATTATGAGCGCACTTCCTCTTATCAGCTCATCATTCAGGCCACTAACATGGCAGGAATGGCCTCCAATGCCACGGTCAATATTCAGATTGTTGATGAAAATGATAATGCCCCAGTTTTTCTCTTTTCTCAATATTCGGGCAGCCTAAGTGAGGCTGCTCCAGTCAATAGTATTGTCAGGAGCTTGGATAACAGTCCACTGGTGATTCGAGCCACCGATGCTGACAGCAACCGGAATGCTCTGCTCGTGTATCAGATTGTGGAGTCCACAGCCAAGAAGTTCTTCACCGTGGACTCCAGTACAGGTGCAATCAGAACAATTGCTAACCTGGACCATGAAACCATCGCCCATTTCCATTTCCATGTGCATGTAAGAGACAGTGGTAGCCCCCAGCTGACTGCAGAGAGTCCCGTCGAAGTCAACATTGAGGTGACAGATGTGAATGATAACCCACCTGTTTTCACTCAGGCTGTGTTTGAGACTGTCTTACTTCTCCCTACCTACATTGGAGTGGAGGTTCTAAAAGTTAGTGCCATGGATCCTGATTCCGAGGTGCCCCCTGAACTGACATATAGCATAATGGAAGGCAGCTTGGATCATTTTTTAATTGACTCAAATAGTGGAATACTCACCATAAAAAACAACAGCCTCTCCAAAGATCACTACATGCTGATAGTGAAAGTGTCTGATGGAAAGTTCTACAGTACATCCATGGTCACCATCATGGTTAAAGAAGCCATGGATAGTGGCCTCCACTTTACACAAAGCTTTTACTCCACCTCAATCTCAGAGAATAACACTAACATAACCAAAGTTGCTATTGTCAATGCAGTTGGAAACCGCCTTAACGAGCCCTTGAAATATAGCATCTTAAACCCAGGAAATAAGTTCAAGATAAAATCTACCTCAGGTGTCATTCAAACCACCGGAGTCCCCTTTGACCGTGAAGAACAGGAACTGTATGAGTTGGTGGTGGAAGCCAGCCGTGAGCTGGACCATTTGCGTGTGGCGAGGGTAGTGGTCAGAGTTAACATTGAAGACATAAATGACAACTCTCCAGTCTTTGTGGGCCTCCCTTACTATGCTGCTGTGCAAGTTGATGCTGAGCCCGGGACTCTGATATACAGGGTGACAGCCATTGACAAAGATAAAGGTGCGAATGGAGAAGTGACCTATGTCCTACAGGATGACTATGGCCACTTTGAAATTAACCCCAATTCAGGGAATGTCATTTTAAAAGAAGCATTTAACTCTGACTTGTCCAACATTGAATATGGAGTCACTGTTCTAGCCAAAGATGGTGGAAAACCCTCTTTGTCCACATCAGTGGAACTTCCCATCACTATTGTCAACAAAGCAATGCCTGTGTTTGATAAGCCCTTTTATACAGCATCTATCAATGAAGACGTTGGAATGGACACCCCCATTCTAAGCATCAATGCCACCAGTCCAGAAGGCCAAGGAATCATATATATCATTATTGATGGGGATCCTTTCAAACAGTTTAACATTGACTTTGACACTGGGGTTCTGAAAGTTGTTAGCCCTTTGGATTATGAAGTTACATCTGCTTACAAGTTGACAGTAAGAGCCAGCGATGCCCTTACTGGTGCTAGGGCTGAAGTCACTGTTGACTTGCTAGTTAATGATGTAAATGACAACCCCCCTATTTTTAATCAGCCCACATACAATACAACTTTATCAGAAGCATCTCTCATTGGGACGCCTGTTTTGCAAGTTGTCTCTACTGATGCCGACTCAGAAAACAATAAGATGGTACACTATCAGATCGTCCAGGATACCTACAATAGCACAGATTATTTTCACATAGACAGCACAAGTGGCTTAATCCTGACAGCACGGATGCTGGACCATGAGTTAGTACAACACTGCACTTTGAAAGTCAGAGCAACAGATAATGGCTTCCCATCCCTGAGCAGTGAGGTTCTGGTTCATATCCACATCTCTGACATAAATGATAACCCTCCGGTTTTTAATCAGCTCATTTATGAGTCATATGTGAGTGAATTAGCCCCCCGGGGCCATTTTGTAACCTGTGTGCAAGCCTCTGACGCAGACAGCTCTGATTTTGACAGGTTGGAATATAGCATTTTATCTGGTAATGATCGGACAAGCTTTCTGATGGACGGCAAGAGTGGAGTCATCACACTGTCCAACCACCGGAAGCAGCGGATGGAGCCCCTGTACAGTCTCAATGTGTCTGTCTCTGATGGGTTGTTCACCAGTACTGCACAGGTGCATATCAGGGTACTTGGAGCTAACTTGTACAGCCCTGCCTTTTCACAGAGCACATATGTAGCTGAGGTGAGAGAGAATGCACCTGCTGGGACAAAGGTAATTCACATTCGAGCCACAGACGGGGATCCAGGGACGTATGGGCAGATCAGCTATGCCATCATCAATGACTTTGCCAAGGATCGGTTCCTCATAGACAGCAATGGACAGGTCATCACAACAGAAAGGCTAGACAGGGAAAACCCTCTGGAAGGAGATGTTAGTATTTTTTTGAGGGCCCTTGATGGTGGAGGGAGAACAACTTTCTGCACCGTGAGGGTGATTGTTGTGGATGAAAATGACAATTCTCCCCAGTTCATGACAGTGGAATATAGAGCCAGCGTCAGGGCAGACGTTGGAAGGGGCCACTTGGTTACTCAGGTTCAAGCCATGGATCCAGATGATGGAGCAAATTCAAGGATTACTTATTCCCTCTATAGTGAGGCCTCAGTCTCAGTGGCTGACCTCCTGGAAATCGATCCTGACAATGGCTGGATGGTCACAAAGGGCAATTTTAATCAGCTGAAAAATACAGTGCTGTCATTCTTCGTTAAAGCAGTAGACGGGGGCATTCCAGTAAAGCACTCCCTCATTCCTGTCTATATCCATGTCTTGCCCCCTGAAACCTTCTTGCCTTCATTCGCCCAGTCTCAGTATTCCTTTACCATTGCAGAAGATACAGCCATTGGAAGCACAGTGGATACCCTGAGGATTTTGCCTAGTCAAAATGTCCGGTTCAGCACAGTTAATGGGGAGTGGCCAGAAAATAACAAAGGGGGCATCTTCATCATAGAACAGGAAACAGGCACTATCAAGCTTGACAAGCGCCTTGACCGTGAAATCAGCCCAGCTTTCCACTTTAAAGTAGCAGCCACTATACCCCTGGACAAGGTAGACATTGTGTTTACTGTGGATGTTGATATCAAGGTATTGGATTTGAACGACAACAAGCCAGTCTTTGAAACTTCAAGCTATGAGACCATCATAATGGAAGGGATGCCTGTCGGCACCAAACTCATGCAGGTGAGAGCTATTGACGTGGATTGGGGAGCCAATGGGCAGGTCACTTACTCCCTCCACTCAGATTCCCAGCCCGAAAAGGTAATGGAAGCATTCAATATTGACAGCAACACAGGCTGGATCAGTACGTTGAAGGACCTGGATCATGAGACAGACCCCACATTCACCTTTTCTGTGGTAGCCTCTGACCTTGGAGAGGCATTCTCTCTTTCTTCCACGGCTCTGGTCTCTGTCAGGGTGATGGATATAAATGACAATGCACCCGTCTTTGCCCACGAGGTGTACCGAGGGAATGTGAAGGAGAGCGACCCACCAGGGGAGGTGGTAGCCGTCCTCAGCACCTGGGACAGAGACACTTCGGACACTAATCGCCAAGTGAGCTACCATATTACAGGTAAGTCTCAGTACCCACAGTTTTTACTAGGTGCTGCGCTTTGTAAAGAAGGACAGAAGGTGGCAGCGGGTAAGAAGAGCAGCAGGGAAGAAGGAAGATGAGATGAGGAATCGAGAGTAATAAAACCTCTTTGGGGCTGAGTAAAAATCTCTGAGTAGACTCGGTTTTTTGTTGTTGTTGTTGTTGTTGTTTTTGACTGGTAAGGGGATCGCAATCCTTGGTTTGGTGTGGTCTGCACCACGCTCAGCCAGTGAGTGCACCGGCCATCCCTATATAGGATCTGAACCCGCGGCCTCGGTGCTACCAGCGCTGCACTCTCCCGAGTGAGCCACGGGGCTGGCCCTAGATTCGGTTTTTTGATTGTTGCTTGTTGCTAACTCAGTTTGGAGTTTATAGATTTTCCTACAACATAACCAAGATTGGTGCTCAGTTCTTGTCACTTCTTATCATTTGAAAAGGAGTCCAGCCAAATGTCTCAGTTGAGCAAATTAAAATAATAGTTCTTTTTAGTGGGGAGATTTATTTTTAGCTATGTTCCTTTTCCTTACTTTTTGTAGTGCTAAAAAAAAAAAAATAGCTTGATCCCAGTAAGCTTCACGTGCAAGTTTCTCCTGGCTATAAAAACATGTATGCACACACATATGCAAATTACAGGGCATGGTTTGACCTTTAACTGAGAAATCATCAATAATAACTTCAAATCAAGGGGTCTTTCTTCTGACAACTCAATCTTCTTGGGTCCCTTTTCTGTCTTTCCAAATAGTAAGTAACAGTTCAATGGAAAATACAAGGTAGACAAATGAAGTCACCAGGAGTGCACAGAAAATGTCACCGTTGCTCTCAGGCACCAAGGATTTCATGTCAGAGTGGAGACAGGCTGTCACCGATCAGGAGTAGCTTTCTGGGGGTGGTTGGCTTTAAACTGCAAAGAGGAGCGTGTTGGTGGTGTGTGGCAGTCTTCCTAAAAACTATTTGGGGGCGGCAGGTGTTAAAGCTAGTATTTTGGTGCTGTGACATTCAAAGGCAGAACATAAGCAAAGTGCCAAAAAATTTTAAAGAATCCATCAATACTTGTAGTCAGGTGGCTTCCCTTTAGAAAAACTACATTATTCAGAGTGAAAAATGAATTAATTAGAATGCCCTTAGGACACAGACTCTGCTTAAGTATGTTAGTGGAAAAGTTAATTAATCACTGCAGAATAAGATCCACAGTAGAGCAAATGTGTCAATGCTTGGGGTTGCCAAACTTTTGGGCATTGTTCTTTTTCTTTATGAAACTGTTTTCTGTATGGTATTTTCCATTTAAAATACTTCATGCACTTTATGCTTTATCTGATGGCTTCCGTCTT